ATCCTTCTGCAGAGCCACAGCTTCAAGTTTTCTTTTCATCTGTGAGGTGATTGCTCAGCATTCATTATCATACAAGAAGATTGATATCGCTTAGCAGTTCAGTGCTCTTTATTCTTTTTTTTTGTTTATAACAAAAATTTTCCGTCTCTTAGTACTTTGTTTAACGTCTGAGATGCGTCTTTCGCTTCTCCAATACGTACTTCGGATCACGGGGTCATATTTTCCATCCACTGTCAAAACGCTTCCCAGATAATTAAGTTTTTGTACTTGTTCGATGTTCACATCTCCACTTCGTAGTTCGTATCTTGGGGTTTTTTTCTCTTACTGAAGAACATACTTTTTGTCTACTTACAGTTGTTGGATAGACCTTTTTTTATCGCTTCCCTTTACTGTCTAAGAGGGTCCCTAGTTTTCGTTCTCAACACCGTGTCATCAGCGTATCTAATCTCCAGCTCCGTTAGGATAGCTTCACTGTAGATGTTGAACAAGTCTAGAGCAAAAACAAATCTTTGTATTACGCCCGTTTTTTGTATACCTATTCATTTCAGTGTCTATATTCCTGAGATGAGGTATTATGTACACTATTTACATTATTCAGACTATTGTCCTCATCTTTGTGGCCATATTTATTACAACGTTTCGGCTTTTCAGTATTTGTCTATATTTCTGAGATGAGGTATTATGTACACTATTTACATTATTCGGACTATTGTCCTCATCTTTGTGGCCATATTTATTACAACGTTTCGGCCTTTCAGTATCTGTCTATATTCCTGAGATGAGGTATTATGTACACTATTTACATTATTCGTACTATTGTTCTCATCTTTGTCGCTATATTTATTACAACGTTTCGAGCCTTCAGACTCTGTCTATATTTATGAGATGAGTTATTATGTACACTATTTACATTATTCGGACTATTGTCCTCATCTTTGTCGCCATATTTATTAAAGCGAGCGAAAGTGAAAGTAAAGACTGAGTATAGGGGGCATTGAGAAAAGGAGGGAAGATGAACGAAATTCAAGAAGATTGAAGACGGCGATTGGTGTTGCATTTAAATCTTTGAAGATTGTAGCTATAGAGAGAAGCAAGGAAAGGGAAAGACGTTCTATGGGCGAGAAGTGCGAAAAAAGAAACTGATTTCAGCAGTAAACTAGTGGGACCTAAATGCCAATCTAGTAGAACGCTTAAATTTATGTAGTCAGAACACCAGAGAAAAAAGCACGACAAAGCAGTTGCCATGCAAATATTTGTAGAAAAGACAGATAGAAGTCACGCTACGTTGGTGAGAAAGATACTGAAGCCGAGATGCCAAATCAGGATCGATTACATTGCAAATCCTTCTTTGGATTTTGTCAAGAACGTAGAGATGAATAGCAGGAGCACCAGACTAGATATGGCAGTAGTATTCAATGTATTGGTGAATGGTAGATTTGTAAATGTGCAAGATGGATTCAGACGAGAAAATACTTCTGGCACGACACAGTGATCCAACTTTCCTTGCAGTAGATGCAGCTATTGATTCGATGTAGTCGCTCCACTTGAAAACGTAAGGCCAAGATGGTGCAGTGTATAACGTTAGAAAAGTTCCTTTTTTTGTGGTTACATAAGATAAATTTTGTTTTGGAGGCGATAAAATTTACAAGTCATTTCCTGTCCCCGTTAACCACTGATTAAACTTCCTTTCCAAGAGCAGCAGCCAGGTTTACTTAGTCATCTCTGACGGATTTGCTATTGAGACATGAGTAAATAGCAGTGACATCTTCAGAAATGCCTACTTGGGAACTGATAAATCTCTTACAGAAGTTATTTCACGTTGAAACACCGGTTCCCCCTACGATCACCGAAGTTAAGCAACGTCGAGTCTGGTCATAGCCAGATGAGTGACCGATTTGAGCTTGGATGTGTTGATGGTGTAATGGATAACAACTCGGAAGTGGAACTCGCAGAGACGAGTTCTAATTCCAGTCAGGTTCGTTATATTAACTTACACGCAAATATCCTTGGGAAAGGTATGAATCCACCTCTTCTCTCCCCAGCTATGGGTTAATTAGTAGGAAGTATCAATAAATCATTATTATCTTTAAAAACGTCTTACAATCTAAAAATATTTTTGTTGTTTTTAAATAACTTGAAAAGGTTGGTAAACCAAAAAAAAAACAATCAGTATATAAATTATTGGGCAAAAATACCTTCGTCAAGGCAAACTCTGCAAATGGCTATTCCTTATCATGGGAGCGTAGAACAAGGAGGGTACAGCATTTTTTTTATCGTTTCACTTGTTGTAACCTAGAAAAGGTTACTAAATATGAATAACCAAAACGGAGGTTGGAAATGAAATGGTAATCTTTATAATATCAATAAAATACAATACTCGCCAGCGGCGTTATGTAGGTAAACCACTTCTAGTGGTGGACTATTTAGACAGCATATTACGATATTTACCTGCATCCCCACGAAGTAGAATGTGGCATAAGGCCAAATTTAGTGTGGGGTATTCCGAGGCCGATGTATAGCCGAAGCATCAGACCAGATAATATTCAATGTACGGACGAATGATAGATAAATTTAAAAGATGGATTCTTAGCAGCAGGCCTAGCAATTGATTCAATATAATCACTTCACTCATATCAGTAAAAAAAACATCAGCCCAAGACGGTGCAGTTAGTGACTCTGCAGGAGGTTAGCATCAGCCATACTGATGAAGAGCGAATATAGTTATTTATGATAATTAAAGGATAGCAGTTTAGTTTTGGGGCGTTCAAATTTACGATTCATTTCTTAACTGCTGTTTAAATTTCTGGGACGAAAGTTTATCCTTATTTATCCTATTTACATTCGGACTATTGTCCTCATCTTTGTTGTTATCACGGCGTTTCGGCCATTGTACCTTCCGGTTATCATCAGGCGTATATCGATCCGAGTAACCAACACAGAATTCCGGATTGAACACTTTATTATTTATCTACGGGGGTAGACTGTTCACTTTCCACTGCTTATGTCTAAGGATATCTCGTCTAGTTCTTGTTTTGAGTAATACTCACTTGTAGTACACCCTGTTTCCACTGAGCCCAAGTACACGCTACTCAACCCAGGGACTGAACTCACAATTGCTGTCACCAAATTCGCGGACAAACGCTTTAATCTATTGTCCCACTTTATGGTATTGTCCTGTTCAATTTTCAAATACAAATAATTGGCCAATCAGCGAAAACCTTGGGCGATAGTAACATAATTACTTATATAAATTATCAGGAGAAAATTCGTGGATCAAAACAAATCCTATGATCCGACATTTTTACATCATTTCACCCCAAGCAAGGCAATAAAGCCACTAAGATTCAAGAGATTACTCAGTGTTAGAGAATATGAGGGAAAAACAGTATTAACGAGATAAAACATTGAAAGAACAAAAATTAAAAAAAACAGTAGATAACGATTGGCATTGCATTTAAATTTTTGAAGATCAAAGTTGACTGGGAAGCATGAAGCCGGAAGTCCCACAAACGAGAAGTGCGAGGGAAGAAACTGTTAACATAGAACTTACGGTTACATCTCGCTATTTCAACTCTAAAATGATGAGACCTATCCGCTAATCGAGTATTGCGCTTAAATTCATAAAGTCTAGGTACCCTAGAGGATAGTTCATCAGAACAATTACCATGAAAGTGTTTATAAAGAAGGCACTAGAAAGCTACGTTACGGGGGTAGGTAAATAGAGAGAAACCAAGATGCCAGGTCAGGACAAATAACATTGCAGATTCTTCTTTAGATTTTATCAAGAATTTCTAAATATATAGCAGGAGCAACAGACCAGAAGTGACAGCAATAATCAAAGCAAGGACAAATGGTAAACTTATAAATATGCAGAATAGATTCTGTCGAGAAAAATTGTCTAGCACAAGACAGTGAACTAAAGTGTCTTAGTCGCATGTTTAGTAATGGATTCGATATTATCTTTATACTTGATGTCAGCGAAAAAAGTTAGTCCGAGAAGTTCGCTTTAATTATAATGTATGATAAATGATTGAATTGAATAACAATAAATAGGTCACATTGACTTTATTCTACCTGTGTGTAGAAAGAAAACAAATTTTAAAAATGGGCTTTGACAATATGGCTCCAATCAATGAAAACGCTTCTTTTACGAATTCTTCACCTCATAGACAACCACAATAAATGGGCGTGAGAGGGGCTTAGAAATGCAGTTTATGAGGATATATAGGATAGATAACAGTCAATCCTAAAAGTGAAGAGGTTAAGAGCCACTCAATGTAGAGGGTTACTGAATGGGGTTGTATGAACGTATGAGGAGGAGCTAAGAAGGGCAGTTTATAAGAATATGTAGACAACGGTTGGGGTTAGAAATGCAGTTTATGAGGATATGTAGGAAAGACAACGGTCAATCCTAGACTTGAAGCGGTTAAGTTTGTAACAATCAGAAAAGCATCAGAACTTGTTTTTACAAAGAAAGCGGTTCTTGAGATGAAACTGCCCGGATTGAACTTCCTCCTTACTAATGGAATACGAAGGGATTGCGGAAGATTCATGCCAGTAGCCTGGTGAGTCTTAGCTGTCAGAGTCTGAACACAGATGGAACTACTGAATATAACACTCGTCAGATCATTAGCCATGGAATTAGAGATAGTGTAGCGAGAGGCTTACGACATATCGTCCTTGGGAAAGGGGTTGCAGCGTGGAAAATAATTCATCACCCACAAGGCCGTGTCAACACTTTTAAACTCTACCAAGACTGGAAAGTAAGGACTGAGTATCTCTTGTAAAGTGAGATTGATTGATTCAACCCTTTGCAGGTTATTTAAATCCAAAGAACATTTTTAGATTATAGGAAATGGGGGGGGATAATAATGGTTTAGTCATACAAGTTTTACTAATTAAGCCAGAAAGGGTATTTGCGCGTAATTAACGAACCCAAATGGAATTGGAACTTGGCTCTCCGATTAACAATTCCGAGCCATTATCGATTACACTACTCGCACTTGTTATTCCCAAGCGATCACCCATCTTGGTACTAACCAGGCTCGATGTTGCTTAACTTCGGTGAACCGACGGGAACCGGTGTTTCAATATAATGTGGCCGTAAACTAGACGAAAGAAAAACGGACAGATGAAAAGGAAGGGAGGAAACCAACCCGAAAAGAGTAAAGAAAGAAGAAAATGAGTTCCCCACTAGGTACCAACCAGGAACGGCGTTGCTTAACTTTGGTAATCGTCCGAGTAGTGGTGTTTCAACGTGATATGGCTATACGACATATCATCCGCACATGCAAACTTACAAAACCTGGTATTCCCAAGCAGTTACCCATCTTGGTACTGACCAGGTTCGACGTTGCTTAACTTCGGTGATCGAACGAGAAACGGTGTTTCAAGGTGACAGGTTTCTAAGTCGTGCCACCTGCACATCCAAGCTTACAGCAACTGGTATTTCCAAGTAGTTACCCGTCTAGGTACTGACCCGGTTCGACATTGCTTAACTTTGGTGATCGTACGAGAAGCGGTGTTTCAAAGGTATGTGGCCGTACGCCTTGTAAAGATGGAGTATGTTAGGAGTCAGGTACTTATTGAAGCGGTACAAGCAACCGACTATTTTTCCAGCATCTAAATTCTGTATATGCGTTCCACTTGAGGTCTGTGGTAAACTTGCGTACGAATAGGCGTTCAAGACAAGGAACTACCTTCAGGGGAAAAAAAAAACATTCATCCTGATAGAAGAAAATTCAGGGTCGGCTCTGTGGTGGGAACCGTTACTAGCTTGGTTTTGGAGGTATTGGATGTTACAAATCAATCCTCCACCCTATGAGATCTTAGAGATCGACTGCCAGGTCTGGTCAACTAAATATTTTTAAGTGCCTCAACTGCATAGATATTGACTAATTTCTCAGGCATATCGTTAATATAAGTTACATATTTATACGAGGGTAAGTCAAAAACTTATCCGCACGTTCGCCATAACATATCTTTACATTTGTCACACTACCGTCTAATTATGCGTGCTTATAGTTTCTACTATTACGGTGTAAACATGGCCGCTCCGCTAGCAGTGTGCACCAAGGAGGAACAAAAATCAGTGATCCGAATCTGCAGGGAACATGCTATGTCATCGATGATAACTCGCCGGTTTGCCGTTACCATCACCCATGCTTGCTGAATCTTCTCGTAAGTGGTGAAGGTTGACGAGTGTCCTTCTCCTTCGTTGTGTGCCACGCTTTTCCGGCCACTTTTAAACTTCTCGATCCACTTGTACACACTTCTACGCGGTAGTGCACTGTCGCCATATTGTGTTAAAAGCCTCTGACGAATTTCAGCTCCTGACATATTTACCGAACAGAGAAATCGGATAATCCCTCTTTGTTCCTTCATGCACACTACTAGCGGAGCGGTCATGTTTGCACTGTAACCGCAGTAAGAAAACTAGCATGATCAAGCTCAAACTTTGATCACTGGACCACAATAGTACCAACTTTAAGCACGCATGAACAGAAGGCCTTGTAATTACACTGAAATGCTATATTTCTTAGTTAAAAGTTAATGAATCTGACTTGTATTTGTGAGATGATATGGTTGTTACCTAAAACACCGGCATAATTTCCTTGCCAATAATAGGTACTATTTTCCGTAGATACGCCCTCTTAACTTTCCTCTACAGTATTCGACCAGTCTCACTATTTAGTTCGTACGCTATGAGACAGGAGTATATTAGTGTTCACCCAGAGTATCACGAAATCACTTGCAACAGCTTGCAAGACATGACTTCAAACCAGTCTACCTGGATTAAAGATGGCTGACACTATGATGCTGAATGCGTACAAGCGAGTTTGCGACTGCTTGTGCGCATGCGTCCTGGCCTCGATGTGTACGCGTGTGCGGAGCTCTACAGACTTGAGCCCTGCACGCAACTTACCTCTCCCCATCCATTCGGTTAGTTAGCGACATTCAATTGGTTTTCAGTCTGTTCTTCATTTTATCTTCGGTTCAACAATGCCCTCTTCCTTCAATCGTAATACACAGCCGCATTCCTCGTCGACTCTCGATACTTACGCCAACGGCGACTTCAGCTACCCGCATAAGTAAACTGGTCTTATCTATTTGCATCCCACTCATATATATATATGTGTGTGTGTGTGTGTGTGTGTGTGTGTGTGTGTGTGTGTGTGTGTGTGTGTGTGTGTGTGTGTGTGTGTACGTTGCTTAGTAACCATCTCTAATCGACCAACCTCTTCTCTCCTCATCTGTCTAATATAACTGCATATACTCAAATTAACATACATAAGGATATATATATATATATATATATATATATATATATATATATATATATATATATATATATATATATATATAATTATTTATTTAAAAATATGATTCAAATTGCTACATAAGAGGTCTCATGGAATCATATTTTTAAATAAATAATTATATTTATGCTCTACTTTTGTATCGAGCACTATTTTTTATAAATAATAACTAAAATACTAAGGGACTTTGGATTATTTACCTAACCGGTTCCTTCCTATTTTCTATATATTTTCATATATATAGATATATATATATATATATATATTAAAATAATAAGAAAGAACAGTAAGATTTATAATCCAGGGTTCTATGCAATTATTTTTATTTTTCAAAAAATAGTGCTTGATACAAACAGCAGAGCATAATATAATAATTATTTTCTTTTTAAAAATATGATTCCATCTCGACACAGAAATTTCTACGTTTCAAAACTGAAACTAAAATTGTAAATCTAATTATAAAAATTAACTTCCTACTATCGCTTGACAATGGAACAAAACTCTGGATTTTAAGTTTAATTTTTATGATTAAATTTACAATTTTAGTTTTAGTTTTGAAACGTAGAAATTTCTGTGTCGTGATGGAATCATATTTTTAAAAAGAAAATAATTATTATATGTGTGTGTGTGTGCGTACGTATGTGTGTATTTAGGCAATATATCTTTATTCAAACATATTTCATTGAATAATATGGACATATTATGTCTAGTTATTTTTATACTCACCCTTTCCAGTAGTCTAATCAGTTTCTTGATGTTGAGATGAAATTTATCAAAGAAGGCGTCGTAGTTTGTTTTTTTTTTAAATCTAAGCACTTTCGATCTTTTCTAAGATCATCTTCAGGGGTAAATTACAAAGACAAACTGCGATAACATCTGTATTCCGTTGTGATAAGTTTGTCTTTCTACCTGATGACGATCTTAGAACCTGATAAGTTTGTCTTTTACCCCTGATGAAGATCTTAGAAAAGTTCGAAAGTACTTAGGTTTAAAAAAGAAATCACTGTGACTTGATCTCAACTTGAAGAAATTGGTAAGGCAACTGTAAAGGATCAATATAAAAATAAGTAGACGTCATGTGTCTATATTGTTCAATAAAACGCATATACACTCTCATACATATATATATATATATATATATATATATATATATATATATATATATATATATATATATATATATTGTATAAGGCAGCGCAGATCATTGTTCAAATATACATTGTTAAATATAACAAGTAACGAACGTCTATTATGTTTTATCAGAGGCCATTAAAACGAAGCAGCCAACGCTCAACAAAATTACGTTTAAAACTGTTGTGGATTCCGAGATGAAATTCGGTTTCCAATGAATGACGATATTTAGTCAACCCCACGAGGGTGTCATGTGGCACAAGGCTTTTTTAACGTAAGCATTTCCGAGCCATTAGGCTCGGTAGAAAAATAGCCCATTTGAACCCGCATAAACGGGTTCAGGGCCGGTTTTACCTCCCCGAAGGAGACGCCGCCCTTCGGCGTAGCCGCCTTCGGGTTCCTCCCGCCCGTAGGAAGAGAGTTGAACCGAACAGTCGCACCAGAAAGTGAACGAGTGATGTCACTCAGTGTTTCCAATGAATGACAAATGCAAGAATTAAATATAAGAAATAAAATGTAATTACATAATAATACAAAGGGTAATACTGTTAGTAAATCCAGGAACGCGGTTAGTAGCAATAATAATAATATATATATAGATATATCCAGTCTCGAAGTAGGACTTCCTTAGAGTCTACGTGCTTGTAACTGTGACTTCTACAAGCGGTTACCTCGCACTATTACTCTACCTCCAACTCAATCACAATCTCAGTCTTCTTACTATCTCTACTCACTCTCTGACTGACTCAGGGTATTTAACGGCAGCAGTCCAAGTAACACTCTGGTCGAGTCCAATTATATGAAAAAGGGGTGGACCTCATAACAAAAACCAGTATTACAGTGCATTTAAGCATGTTTCTGTAGTGAAAATTTCTTTCTTTCACGTCGCCATGTACGACGTCATAGAACCGCATCTTGAATTTACGACCTGCGTCTGTTATTCAGCAACAGTTATCGTCGCATAACAAACTTCCATGTTAACATAACAGCATATTATCTTTGATGTTGAATATCTTTGTTGAAATGTCCATATAAACACTCTGATGATGGCTGATACGAGCCGAAAGCTTAAATCGTGGAAGAACATAATAAAATTAACCAAATGTTGGACAGTTTTTGCATTTATTTTCTCTTGAAACGAAAGCCATTATACGACGCTTGGAAAGGCTCATGATAAAACATAGACATTCTTTATCTAACAATATATATATATATATATATATATATATATATATATATATATATATATATATATATATATATATGTTCAAAGTTAATATTAAGTGTTGTTGTTTTGTTGTTTTTGTTTTTATTAATAAGGTATAATGATTATTTACGTTATTTACATTATTCGGACTGTTATCCTCATCTTCATTGCCATATTCACAATGTTTCGGCCGTTGTACGCTCCGGCCTTCTTCAGGTGATTGGAATTTTGAGCCGAACCATTTATTTCGTCCACCGGAGTAGATTGTTCTAGTTCCACGGGCCATGCCTCTTCCGGGTGTCCCTTTAACTCAACTCTCCAAGTTTTAGCTCACTACTGCTATAGCCTGGTATTAAACTCACAGCTCTTTGAGTCTAGGCTTAATCCACTGAGCCATGTGTCCTTCAGGTGAGTTAGATCCAGTGACTAGACCCAAAGAGTTTTGAATTCAATATCAGGCCACAAAAACCTTGGAGAGTTGAGTTAAAGGGAAATATCTGAGACATCTGGAAGAAGCATGGCACGTGGAACTAGAGCAATCTACCCCGGTGAACGAAATAAAGTGTTCGGCTCGAAATTCTAATCACACGAAGTAGGCCGGAGCGTACAACGGCCGAAACGTTGTGAATATGGCAATGAAGATGATGATAACAGTTAGAATAATATAAATAATGTAAATAATTATAATACCTCATCTCAGAGATCCAATCACCTGAAGAAGGCCGGAGCGTACAACGGCCGAAACGTTGTGAATATGGCAATGAAGATGATGATAACAGTTAGAATAATGTAAATAATGTTAATAATCATAATACCTCATCACAGATATGTAAACAGATATATTAGGTTGAGTCATAAATAATTTCCGTTTTTGTTT